TTGTTACTTCAGCTTTAAGGAAACTCAAAGAAGTGCTGAGCAGGACTGCCAGGTAGACGGGAGATGATCACAAAGATAGTGAGCAGAGCAGACCCTGGGCAAAGAGGCAAGTAAAACCAGAATGTCACAGGCATGAGCTCCGAGGAAAGGAAGGTGAGACCTTAAGAAACAGACACTGGTCCTTACACTGCTTCGTTTGAGACACAGAGAAAAACTTGATTTTTGAAAGAGAGGGATGGAGAAAGTCACCCTTGGGCTACCCAAATCATCAGTAAAATCTACCAAGTTCACCCTATGGCCACAGGGATGGGGTGGAGGTGGAATGGGGGAGGGGGTGGATTTCCAGTGGGGTCAGCAAGAATGGCTTATCATGTAGCATGCACAGGGTCTCTGAACTCTGCAGAACTGCAATGGGAGGGTTTTAGGTCTTCCCAACTGGTGGGATTGGCTAAGGTCCAAGCCAATAATAGCTACATCTCCAAGGTGAATAGCCAACATCTGGGTTACATTTATAACCCCAATGTTCCAGGAAGATGGAAGCATAAGTTATGTGGGTGCTGAGTGAGAGACCCTCGGAAGGGCACCTGTGTGATGCACTTAAAGGGATTCTCCCTTTCTGGCAGCCAGCCCCTCAGCATGGGAAGCTCAGGGCCATGCCTCTGTCCCACCTCTGGGAATGCTTCCTTCCCTGGGGCATTTGGGTGGCTAAGAATCGATCTGCACCCCCCAGGACTTTCCCTATGTGAACACTGGCTGGTGGGGTGCAAGTAGATCCTTAGCCACCCAGACGCAAAGTCAGTATGCCTGGGAAGTGAGAGGTGGGAGCAAGAACTCTAAATGGGCCTAGAGTTGTCCTCAGGAAGTCGAATCAGCTCCGTGTAAAAATCAGGGGTCAAGGGCCTGCAGGGAATACAGTACAGAGGAGGGAGATGGATGACACTGCGGCTTGGGACCTTGATTCTTACTCTGTCTCTCTTGTACACCTACCTGCAGGAGCCAGGCTCCCTCTCTCCTTGTACTCACCTTCACGAGGCAGCTCTACAGGTCAGGGCTTCCTTGCTGCGAGTGAGTTACGCCTTCTTCAGCTGATCTCAGGTGCCAGGTCAGTTGGGGTGGGGGAGCATGAATGAATTTAAGAAACCTTATTTTCGTTTTGGATTACAGTTCTCAAATGCAGCCAATATGGTATTTCAGTTCCCAGCATTTTTCAAAGTGGTGAGAACCCTTAGAGAAGGAGTCTTAACCGGCACCTATGAAATTCTGAAAAGACATACATACATAGATGTTAAAAAGTCTTAGTTTCAGCATTAAAAATGTGTTATCTGCTGTAATTCAGAAACATTTGAAATGTTGGTTGGGCTGGTTATGTTGTCCGCAAGGAGTCTGTTTACATGCCAGACAGTGGAGGCTCCTGGGAAATAACTCACCAGAAGTGCGGAAAGCGTGCAGCAGATAGGCTTGGCCTAACAGGGACAGCTTCACTGTAAGGCTGTGAGTCAATGTTTGTGTTTACATCAAAAGAGCCTTCACTGTCTTAGGTTGAAGAACAAAGAAGAGATCCTAATCCTTAAGGAGGAAAAAAGTTGCTAAGCCAATCTGAGCTATTAAAAAAAAAAAGTTGGTAAGATATTCATACATAAGGACCAACTTTTAAAGAGCCAGCAATCAAAAGACATGTTGAAGTTGTAACACCCTGAACTTCAGCATATGATCTGATTTGGAAACAGCGTTGTTGTGGATGTGCTTACTTAAGATGAGGTCACACTGGAGTAGAGTGGGCATCTAAGCCAATATGACTGGTTTAGGAAGAGCAGAGACTAACCAAGAGAAAAATGCCATATGACTACAGAAGCATCATTGGAGTGAAGTAGCTACAAGGCAAGAAATATCGAGGACTGATAGACACCACCAGAATTTGGGAAGAGGCAAGGGTCATAGGGGAATGTGGCCCTCCGTTGACCTTGATTTTGGTCCCCTAGCCTCCAGAACTTGAGACAATATATTTTTGTTGTTTTAAGCCACTCAATTTGTGTCAACTCTAGGAAACTAATACAAGTATCTTCAAGTCTCCTACTTCATCCAATTTGTTGCCCCCACCCCTAAAAAATCTATGTTAAAAGCTTAATCATTTTGAGGATTCACTATATTAAAATGTCCTAGAAGATTTTCATTTGAAAAGAGAACTGATGGGAGATGGCAATAAGTGAGTCTATAATGGTGAGTTTTGCAATAGCAGAGCCCTGTAAGCCTGTAAGTGCACTTTCAAATGACAAGAAAGGTTCCAATACTAAATTTCAGGGTTCCTTTGGGATTTTTAGAGATGTCTCAGGAGCTATTGCAGAAAAGGGGGTGGGTGACAAGAGAAAGGCTGAGGTGCTGGGCTCTGAGAGCCCACTCCAGCTGCAACCAGAATAGCTCTCTTTTATGTTTTGGGATTCCATATAAGATTCATTGGGGAGGGAGGGAAGAGTCCTTGTGTTAAAAGAGATTGGCACTATTTAACTGACACTTGGACTACTCATGATTTTTCCCTTTGCTATTTCTGCAAAATGTGCCCACTTACATATATGTTAACCTATATATGTAAGTTACATATATGTTACATATATGAGAGCTGCCAAGAACCTAAGGAGAGGAAACATGTACACACAAGAGACACCAGCATCATTCCCCTCTTTTGTTTGTAATTATTCCGATGGATGTAAGGGGACAGATAGACTGTTTTTCTTTATTGTTTTCTTTCTAAAACTGAGAATCAAGATCTTCATGATCCAAAAATCTGCCAAAGACTTTTTAAAGTAAAAGTCAAACTATCTAGTTTATTCAAGTTGTTGATTTATTGGCTGTCTTTCTTGTTATTTACTTTTTGCCATTGGGTAAACAGAGGATGCTATCAGATGTATTTGCATTCATATGATTGAGGCAGAAGCAAGACTTGAATACAAACAAATTTGTGGCTGATATTGGCGGAGCATATGTGTGGGAAAGAGTGGCTTTTAATTCTCTGCAATTGTAAAAGTATAAATACAATTTTTACACGGTTGTGTCCCTTTACCCTTTCACCTGCATTATCTCATTGGAAACTCATATACATCCTGGGAGGTATGCAGCCTGGTTTTCCTTTCACCATCCCACAGATGGGCTCAAAAAATCAATTTTTCAGGGCTTGAGGCCGGTTAGTGAGGGGAAGCGGGGACCGCCACCCATGTACCCTTGCTCTGTACTGTTAGTAAGTGGTGGGTTTCTTTTCTTTCCCTCTCTTCCTTCCTGTCTCTCTTTTCATCCCTTCCTTCTTTTCTATCTTTTTTTTTCTTCTTCCTTTCAAGAGGGGTGAGGTTTAGTGAGGAATCTTAAAATAAATATCTAAAAAGGACTTTCAGGCCTACTTTATCTCCACCACTTCTACCATAAAATCATAAGTCAGAGTCTGCTTTTGTCCTGTCTTTGAGATAAGCAACAAGTCCCAGGAAACTAATGGTGAATGCCACCATCAATTCTGCTAAAAAATTATCCAGTTAAGCATTCGAATCTCAAAATGCTCTCCAAATCATGATAGCTAATCTTTCATCTACCCACTCTCTTCTTTCAGTCAAGAGTCTCAGCCAGTCAACACAAGTGCATGCTGAGCTCGCAAGCACCGCAGAGGGGTAGGAGGGCAGGTGGGTAGCAGCTCAGGGTATTCCAGGAGAATAGATTTTGGAATGCCACAGCCATTTCCTTTCCTTTCCTTTCTTTCTTCTTCCTTTGTCTTCCCCTCCCCTCAGCCCCCAAGGAAACTGCCTTTTCAAGTCCTGGGTCCAGGTTGGACACATTGAAAGGGAACAGATGAACGTGGGCTGGCTGGTGGAGGAAGGAGGAAAATAATTTTTACTAGTATGGGCCGCTTTAAAGAAATCAGGGACAGAGAAACTTTGTAGTTCCCGGAAAACCACCACGTCGGAGTCCAGGTTCCAAACCGGGTGTGTGTGTGTTGTGTGTGTGTGTGTCTTTGCTTTTATGTCCTTTATAAAGGGGCCCTTGGGGACCGGACCGCAAGCAGTGCAGTGGGACTTCCCACTTCCCAGATTTTGGCCCCAAGGGCAGATAGAAGAGTTGGGCGGAAAGGAATACCAAAGATCTTCCAAAAGCATCCTCTGGTGATGAGAGAGAGAAAGGGAGAGAGGGAGAGAGGTTCACGGTTGTCCTTGGAAAATGTAAAAGTAGAGGGGGAGCCTTTGGGGGTGTTCTCAGAGAGGCTTTAAAAGAAAAAGGGGGCACAAACTGGGAGCGAGAAAAAAAAAAAAAGGGGAGCGGAGAGGTGGAGTGTGAGCCCAGGGAGCGGGCAGGACGCAGCCCCCGAGGTGGAAGCCGGCGAGGGCGCCCCGGCGGGGCCGCTCGCAGAGGCGGGGAGGGCGGCCGTGACATCACGCCCGGGCCCCCTTCCCCTCGCCGGGTGGGTGGGGCCTCGGCGCGCCGAGCGGGCGGGCGCGGGGTCAAGGAGGGGGAAGAGGAGGAGCGGGCATGAATGTGTCTGTGTGAGCGCCGCGGGGAGAGGCGGAGGAGGCGGAGGAGGCGCAGGGGGGAGGCAGCGCGCGTGGCTGGGCGCCCAGGCTCCCCCCCCCCCCCAAAGCCCCCGACCCGGGCCGCCGCCTCCGCGCCAGCACCGCCCGCACCGCGGCAGGAACCCGCTCCGGGCGCGGGGAGGACGAGGCTCGGCCTGGAAGGAGCGAGAAAGCAAAAGTAAGGCGAGCTGCACTCCTAAGTTTTCCCAACTTCGCCCCCCGCGGCGGCGGGCATCCAGCGGCTCCGCAGAAAGAAAGGGACCGGGCGGGGGCCTGGGCGGAGGGAGAGGGGGAGAGTCCCGCAACATCTGCTCAAACTTGGGGGAGGAGGAGGAGCGCGGGCTGCAGGAGGAGAAGGAGGAGGAGGAGGAGGAGGAGGAAGAGGAGAAGGAGGAGGAGGAGGAGGAGGAGGAGGAGTGGAGGGAAGGAGAGAGCCGGAGGGAGGGGCGCGCAGAGCCGCCGAGGGACAACTTTTCCGCCGCGTGAGTGAGTAGCGCGGGGCCGGGCCGGGGGCTCCCTCTCCCGCTCGGGGCTCCGGGACGGGACGGGGACGGGACCTTCTCGGAGAAAGTCGATTGGATGCCAGGAGGGGCGCCCGGCGGGGGCTTTTCTTTCTCTCTCTTTTCCCTCCTTCCCGCGGGCTCACCAAATCAGAGCTGTCACTCGGGGCCTGTGAGTCAGGGGGGATCGGGTTACACGAGCCCTGAACCCGATGCCGGCGCGGCGGCGCGGGCGGAGGGAGCGGGCAGGGCTGCTCCTCGGCGCGCTCCACGCTCGCGGTCGCGCACACTCGCCGCCCCGACGACTCGCCCTCCCCGGGCCGCCCGCGCCGCCCCGCCGGCCGCCCGCACCCCCTCCGGGCCCGGCCCCGCCGATCGCTGCGGGAGCCCCGGCGGCCGGCACCTCGCGCCCCGCGGAGCCCGGAGACCGGCGCCCGGCGCCCGGCGCCGGCCGCCCGCCCGCGCCCGGGACGCGGGTCCAGGGGAAGTTGGGGGACTTGACAGCCGCCGCCGCCGCAGGTACGTCCCGCCCGAAGTTCTTTGTTCCGCGGGCCCCGCACGGGGGAGCCGGCTCCTCCCGCGGCCGCGCGGGCGCTGCCAGGTCCGGAGGGTCTCCAATCGGGGGGACGGGATAGAAGTGAAAATGGCTGTCAAAGGCGCTCAGCTTTACCGAGCAGCGGGGAAGGCTCTCCTCCGCCTCCTCCTCCTCGGAGCTCCCTTCTCCAAGGGTCTGACCGCTGGGCCGTCCGGAGACGGACTGGAGGATCGCGCATCCCGGAGGGGGACGAAGTTTGCAGCAGTTGCGTGGGCGCTCCTCACCCCCGACTCCCCATCTCAGGGGTGAAAAGGAACCACGTTAGACCCCGAAGCTGGGGCGCCCGGCTGCGCACCGTCTCGCCCCCCTCGGGTGCCCGGCGCGGCGGGCGGGCGGCGGGGCGCGTGGGGGGCTCGCGGCGGCTGCGGGGCTCCCTCCCGCCCGCGCTTCCTTCCCGAGGGCGGGGGAGCGGTGTGATAGGGGAAAAGTGAAAGTTGTACCATCTGCAGATGATTTGGGATGCCTTCATTTCTTTTCTTTTCTCAGGGACAGCGCGCGCGCGCGCACACACACACACACACTAAAAAGAAAGGGAAGAGAGATGAAACTGTTAGAAGCTGCAGGGCGTCAGTGCGGGGGGGCGGGGGGATGCACAGAACCGTGCCCCCTGCAAGAATCACTTAGGCGGCCGCGTTTTCACAGTGTCGCGTGTATGCACCGCTCTGCAGGGGACAGTTACTTTCTGGAGTTAGGAGGGGACATGGGCGGGCGGAGGGTAGAGGGAGTAAATATTTCCCCCAAACTTGGAGACCCGGTGAAGCGACTTGGAAAGCGGATTGCCAGTTGCCAAAGCACCCCTGCACGCCCGGGCCTCTTCCCCTGCCCTGGACTCTGAGCTCTTGGGCCTGGTTGCACCTGCTCCAGGAGATGCCCCGGAGGAGAAGTGGGACTCCCTTGCCGACCCCTCGTAGAAAGAGGCTGAGGGAGGCATCCAGCCTCCTTGCAGCTCTCCTGCCTCCCTCCTCCAACTTCTCATCGCTCTGGCGTGCAGTGGCCCACTAGATGCTGGCCTTGGGTACAGTGCTCGTGGCCCTCTGCCAGTTTATATGTACATGTATTTATGTAAAACATTCTCTCCCAGCTCTTTGCCAGCTGTTCCACATTTTCCAGCTGCCATTTCAGTTTGGAAATGATGGACTGTCCACATCTCCGAGTACAAGGGCCCTTTAGTCGGAGGTTTGGGGACAAAGTAGAATTTTTTTCCTCCCACCTTCTACGTGTTCTTCTAGCTGGGCTAATGATCAAACTAACATGAGACAAATTAACGGGGGGGGGTGTCCAAATTTATTACATATGTATATTCAAGGGTGCCATAGGATAGGAGACCCAAGGAGGTGCGAGGCAGTGGAGGTTTCTATGCCATTTTGGACAAAGGAGAGGGAGACAGGGGACTGGAATTTCAAAAGCAAAGCAGGCCATTTACAGGTAGATGAGAAAGAGCCAACATGTGGTAAACAAATTCTTGCTGGGCCACCCAGAGACAATTGGACATAGAGGAATATCCAAAAAACAGGCTTTGCTGTATTTTCCTCTGTCGACCACATTTACTTTATATGATGATGTTACGGTGGGTGATGCTTCCATCCCGTAAGCAGGTTTTTCCATCTGAATTCCTTTAGGCAGGCAAGTGGGAGGGTCAAAGGTTTTTTTTTTGTTGTTGTTTGTTTTTCTGGGCCTTTCATTTCTTTGTAACCAACTTAAACATCAATATCCCAAAAGGCATATTTTGTAGTGGTAAAACTTTGGTCTCTCTCAGAGGGATGGAAGGCTGGCTACTGGGAAAAGGCAGTGCCATACGCTGGACTGGTATTATTAGTTCCAAAAAACACCTTCTGCTTTCCTTTCCCCCTCCCCAATCCGTCTTTCCAGAGCACTTTGCTGGAAAGTCACAATAATTAGGCTCCCCCCCCCCCCCATGTGATTTTGTGCAGAATTTGGATGAAGCGATTTTTTTTTTAGATTCCTGAAGTATGTGTCTCGTGGAAATAAATTAACTTTTAAAAAGAATTGTAGCTTGAATGGGTTGGGCATGGCTGATGGGGTGGGGGGGGAGGGCAGAGAGCTCTGCCTTGGCTAACTGAAATGATTTCATTTTAGTCTAAGGCAGGAACTATTCATCCTTCCCATGTTGTGCTTATTGTGTTGTTTGATGTCTTAGCATATTATAGACTGAAATTGTCAAGAATTGGCCGAAAGTATTAATTTTTGAGTATTTATGTAATTGCTCTGTAATTTGAATAGGTGCCTTATTGATTGATTCCTGTAATTATTTCATTTAGGTTTTAAATTAAAAATTAATAATAGTCTGACAGTTTCTTAATTACATGTGTCAAGATTATTTTGAAAGAGGAAAATGCTATGTTTTAAAGTAGTGAAATAACCTAAAAATCTCTTTTTTTTTTTTTTTTTTCTTTTTTTTTTTTCCTAAGGCATAACAGTATTTCAGTTGTGGAGCTGTAAGGCAGTAGTGATCGGTCTTCGTGTAAACTGTGTGAAGTATGGAAATAATTTGTTTATGTTAGGAAATATTGGTCTTAACAACCTGGTATGCAAACACTTTGGCCCCTTGGACTATAGTCAGACCTAAAACAAACATGAAATAATATGTAAATTAGTTGTAACAGCATATGTATAAAGAGAAGAGAATTTATATTATACTAAAAGCTATTTAATTAAAAACTCCCTGCCTAAGGGAGTATCCTTTCAGGGCATATAATTCTTAAAGTCAGCCTAGGGAAGCTTTGGTTTAAGATGCCATAATGAGTTGAATGAATGTGAGAGGTGTCTTATGAAACACTTTAAAAGGTATAGGTTATATTATTATTAATAGTAGGTCCCACTCAGATACCTACCAATTCTTAGTCCCTTTAACGAGTTTGTATTTCTTGATTAAGCCCTGTATAAACACATTTTATTGTATGTCTGGTTTGCAAAAGAACTACACACAGAAATGAGAAAAGAAGTACTGATGAAAAATGACTTTGTTGCGTTATTTCATTACTTATTGAATGAAAGAGTCATTAATTTATCAGTTTGATCCCCACGCCTAAAAGTTTAACTTTCCTTTGTTTCGAGGCCAGTTTTCTTAAGCATCTGCCCGTTGTAAGGGTTTCAACCTTCTGTGTTTTCTTAACCAGCGAGAGGTCCTTCCTTCTGTGTAAGGTATCCTACCCTCTAAGATTGGCCTGCCCTCATTTTTTTGAAGTTAGGGTTCGGGAGTTTATGAAAGGAAACAATTTAATAATGATCATTGTTCTGTGCACTCACTCCATCTGGACAGTAATGTGCTAGGAAAAACCAGTCTTGAAGGAGAAGTGAATCAATGAGTCATGAAATCCTCAAGAAAAACCTTAGTAATGGAATGTTAATGCTTTTAGACTATAGTAGATTATCTTAAAAGTCAGACTTTTCTTCTTTATGCAATTGTTGTAAATCCCTGAGCTAAAGAATTCTTTGAAGGCGGTTTTAGTTTTGCTGGCATTCAGAGTCTATAGTCAATCTGATTTGTTTTGGAAGAGTCAAGAAATTTTCTGCCAACTTATATAGGAGAGGCAATTAAAATGCCGAAGTGATAGAGAGGCAGTGTGTATGTATTTCATTTGGTAAGCAAAGGATCCCCTCCAGGTTGTCTTTTAATTAAAGTCGAGTAGAGAAATCGCTGCCCTTCACTTCATGTTGTCATTTTTTTCCTAGATGAAAATTGATTTGTTCTAAGTTTCAAAGCAAAGAGATGGAGACAGAATAAACAACCAACAACAGGGCAGGGGCCCTGCTGCAAACTTTTTCAAGTACTCTCAGTGTATTTTTCATCTTTACTTTTATTTGATGGGCCTGTGAAATAGAGCTGTAGACCGGTGGAGACTTTAAATGAAATTTCACACTTTGATGATTTTTTTCCCCCAAACTTTGATATATTGACAGCAAAAGGAGCTGCATGCTTTTATATAACTTGAGCAGTAACGCCAAGCAGCAGTCAAACGTCTCTATGCATTTGTGTTTAACTGCAGAAGAAAAACATGTCCATGGGCAGTCGAGGTTCTTATCAACCCCCTAATCCCAGATCCCAGCAAACCTTAAGGGCATGCCTCAGATCTTGCTGAAATCACTGTAGACTCTCACAGTTTGCAGATTAAATATGCTATGTGTTCCTGGCTCCAGCAACAGTTTTATGAGCTCACTAAGCTTCCTGTTTTAAGATCTGTTTCTCAAGTTTTTAGGAGCTGCTAAAGGCAATGCTGTCTGGAGTAAGTGGTGTTTGTTCATTTAGAGACACTTGAGATGTTTCATCCTTTCTTTAAAAATTGCTGGAATTATTATTTTTTAATTGAAGGGCTTGCTATGCATGGATGAGAGAGGGGAGCTGATTGAAAGAAATCAGATGTTAAATATGTTAGTGAGTGCATTTCATTGTAAATGTTACATGGTGCTGTAATTGTCTTAAGGCGCTTTTCCTTTTCCTGGCCCTTAAAATTAGACTTTTTCCACTTGAAATTATAAATGCACCATAGTTTAGTGCCACATTTTTAAGCTACTCATAATCACTTTTAATAATTATTATTATTTTTGCATGTGAAACTATTTTTGTTCTGGGTGTGTCTATTTCCACCAGACAAAACACCCGAGAAAAATCTGTGGCTCTCTAAAGAAAGTGAATGAACAGGCCATTACATAGTTAATAAGGTGGAGTTGGAACATTTCAGCACCTCCTGAAAGGTAATATTGTATTGAGCTCCACATCTTCATCTGCAGCACCTATAGTTGTGTCCTCCTATACGGTGCTTTTGCATTTTGCATAAGAGTCATAATTAAAAAAAAGAAAATACTTACATCATCGTCCAACAACATGTCATGTAATTCCCAGGAGAACTGGAGCCAATTTTGTGCTTAAAGGTTATTCAATGAATGAAATTGTGAAAGCCCATTT